TTTCTACCGACTCTAGAGTGTCTATCAATACTAGATGGTCTCAAGGTGTTCCTCATTCGAGATATCAAGCAGTTGTTCTTGACAAGTTTCATCGAGATACGTGGGGAAAGAAAGCGTAATCAAAATTTGATTTGGAAAAGACAAGTTCACAAACACATACAAGCTGGTTTGGTTGTATAATTCATTTGAGTTAGGTCTAGAAAATGATACAACTTGTGAAGTTTTTGATTTTAGCAACAACAGTTGGAGTTATGTGACCACAGCTCCTTACCGTATTCTTGCATACCACATTCCAGTTTACTTTGATGGATCGCTTCATTGGTTCACTGATGAGAATATTAAGAAAACAAGAGTATTATCTTTCGATCTTCATACCGAAATGTTTCACGTGATCTCAAAAACTCCGTTTGTCGAAGCAGATTCTAAAAAAATCGTCATGTGTAACGTGAGTGATCGACTATGCGTATCGCAGAAAGAGTGGCCAATACAAGATATATGGTTCTTAAAAAATTCAGATATGATGACATGGGAGAAAAATATTCATTAAACCTACAAAATGATTCCAATTTGTTCTCCACAAATGACTCATTGGTTTTTTACTCTGAATGCATTCTTTGCGCCATTCCTCTTGCGGTTTTGAAGAACAAGAAGAAGAAATCATTGGTACTTTACGATGCGCGTGCTAAAAATCATAATCTTATGATATATGATCCTGAATTAAAATCTTATGATATATGTTTTCCGCGTAATTACCTAGCTCATCATACGGCAATCGCGGTATCTATTTTCCCAAGCTTGATCTCAATTGTTTGAAAATAGTCAAGGCTCTAGTTTGCTTGAAATTTATTGTAATTTTATTTGACTTCATTATTAAATTTTTTTTTTTTTTTACATTAATGTTTCTATGTGCTTTGCAATAATCATTTTCTAAGGTTCCTTCAATTTATATATGTATCAATTAAATAATTTCAGTTGTTTTAGCAAAATTTAAATGAAGCTTTGTTTCTTTACAAATAAAATGAAGAGTATGATCTAGATGAATTAATATAGACACACACACATACTACGTTCACGAGTTTTATATACTCCTTTATTTGTATTTACAAGAGATTTAGAAACATCTGCATATGTTTGTAAGTATAAAGCAAGTAGAAAATGATTTGTAGATACAAGTTATGAATTATATATATCAGTAATCAATACTTCAACAATGATATACAAGAAAAACGATTTATTATAATATGTGGATTACATTCAGATGAAATTTGCGTAAAACTAATAAACTTTATATGTATGCTTTTTCGCTTTTCTTCCTATATGTAGTTCGATCATATTATGTAGATATGTTCTCCATCATCATTATTCATCTCAATCATATAATTTGCGAGCCACCTTTCAACCTTTGTCTCTTTGGGTTTTTTTTTTTTTTCCTATCAATCTTCTTATATAGGATAATTTGGTCTTAAGATTTTACAGATCGGTCGAAATTTGATATTAAAAATTTTGGATTCAGATCATACCACATACTTCATACGGATCAATCAATGAAAAACGACTAGAGGAATTTTGCCCAGTTCGATTTTGGTTTGACAAATTTTTTTTGTTTCAAAACCAAATTAAGAAGTATTTTTTGAATTTTTTTAAAACAAAAATTAAAACACCAAGCTCAGGCATCTCAACTCTGAAAACCCGCTCAGCTTCTTCTAAACCATTAGCTTCCATTTCACTTAGGATCTCATAGACCTTTATGAAGTCAGATTGCTGGCAACAACACCTTGTAATCGTCATATAGCTATTAACACAAGGACGAAAAACGTGGCGTTTCATCATCTCTTGGATCGTTCAAAGAGCTTCCTCGACTCTATTTGCCTTACACCAACCGTGAATGAAGATGTCAAACATATACACATTCGGTGTGATGCGTGACTTAAGCTCTAACAAAATGGCGCTTTTCTCCTTGCAAAGAGTATCGAGCAGTAAATTCATCGATTCAGTGTTCTTCTCCAATCCAAACTCACCCAATTTATCGAATACTTTGACAGCTTCTTTTCATTCACCTGCACCAGCAAATCTCCTCATGATCTTAGCAATTGTATCCAAGGTAACAACTTCATCCATCTCCTTTCATTCTCTCCACAAACTCATTCATCCGATCCCATTTCTTCGCCTTACCGAGTATATCCACTGCCATATCATAACAATCACTCGAATGTTTGTGCCCTTTACAAGATTCAGCCCATTTCAAAACACTAAGCGCAGATTTCCAATCATCTCTAAACCTATGAAGCAGCTTATGAACCAAACCATCAGAGAGATTTACTCTGTTACATATCTCATCGTTAGATAGACAACGAAAAACCTTTGCGTCAAAAATGTTCGACCTGCACAACACAATGGCTTTAAGTACCAAAACAGACCTTAGAGAGTGAACATTTCAGTGAATATTATTAAGTGCAAATAGATTTCGTCATAGGTTGCAGTTCCGATGCCGAGTAATTTTTTTAAATGTTTTATACACTAATACTCTTATATTTAAACCTAAATCTTTGATTTTTATATAAAATACACACAACGCGGGCTTTGTGCAGGTAATGCAGTAAAGGTCTTCTAAAAAGTGGTCCAAAAAGGTAATCAATGTGCAGGTAATGCGGTAAAGGTCTTTTCCATGTTATAT